GTGAAAAAAGAAAACGATTGTAAGTATAATATCTACTTTTTCTTTTGTTTTAACCATTCTCTGTAATCTTGAGATTATATTTCACCCGAAATCGAACCTAGAACATAAGAGAAACATAATCTTGCTATCTGTACACAGCCATATATGTAACATTGAAATAACTACGATACTAAAATTACAAGTATATTTTATAAAGTTCTGGTATAAAAAATCAAGTGCCATCCCCCAACGATTGTTGGAGCGCATCCAGGATTTCCTCTTCATTACTATGCATGAGATTCCAGTTTTAGGGTATTGTGTACCCGAGGAAGTGGTAATTGTTCGAAGTGTTACGTCTACACGAGATTAATTGTTTAGAATAACCGTTTTCTGTGGAGTGTTACCTTTGACACGACAAATTTAATGAAGTATCGAGAGTAGGTATGTTTCTCACAAATCAGTAGCGCTACAGCCTCTTTTAGGTCTGGGCCTCAGATTTTTGAATCTGTTTCATGATCATTTTTCAATCTAATAGGCAAGTAGGTGATCAGCCTCCTGTGCCTGACACACGCCGTCGACTTTTTGTGTCTAAGACATGTCGGTTTCCTCACGATGTTTTCCGTCACCGTTCGAGCGAATGTTAGATGCGCATACGGAAAGAAAGTCCATTGGTGCAAAGCCGGGGATCGAACCTACGACCTCAGGGATGAGAGTCGCACGCTGAATGCACTAGGCCAACACACACACATTTCTCACAAATACTGTCTTAAAATTGTAATTTTTATAAATTCTTGTTTGTCCGAACGGACCAAAAAGTGTCTATGAAGAAACATTTTATCAAACACACATCGAAATGTTACTGCCGCGCACTGCATAATCTGTGACCTTTTGATAATTTACATTCGTACCTTGCGGGACATTATGCTCCTACGCATTGGCCGTGACAACCAGATTCAATCAGTTCGATTCCCACGGGACAAGGATTATATGAATTTGTGTCGCAACATTACCTGTCCACATCGTAACCCTAACTCTTAAATTAAATTATTATGATTCATGGCACTTTTTACTTTTTATTATTATTATTTTTTCATGTATCCTTTATTTGTTTAGTTTGTTTTTTGTTCATGTTTAGTTCCTTTTTTTTATAACTATATGCAATATATTATGTATTTTTGCACTTCTTGCCTACCTTATCTAATTTAATTTTTTTTTTTTCTTTTCTCACAGTGGTTGCCTAGAAGAGATCGCTCGAAAGCGATAAGGCCGCCAGTTGCCTTTTCTTTACATGTAATTATGTTAATTTTTTATATTATAATGCAACAAAGTGTAAATAAATAAAAAATATAATTTGCGTATAAATAGTAGAATCGTTTTTGGCCTACACCAGTAGACGTTAGAATTGCATTACAGCAATGGAATGAGACTTCCTCTGATGTACTGATATTAAAGAAATGTTATTAAATAATTTAAATTTAATATTATGCTAAAATTAATAATAATATAACCAAAAATCGATATTAACAGACTTGATAAGGGAGACTACTCCTTATTTTCTTGTTACAAAGAATGAATTTGAATGTTTTCATTGAATTTAACGCTCTCAGCATCGCGGAAATGCGAATATGAAATCTTTTTTGACAATTTGTAGCAAACACAATATAGCATTTTCGATTCATATTTTTTTTTTGAATGATATGCTTGGAATAAGTGTGGCAGAGTTGGCCAAGTGGCTTCAGCGTGCGACTCTCATCCCTGAGGTCGTAGGTTCGATCCCGGGCTGTGCAACAATGGACTTTCTTTCTATTTAACATTCGCTCGAAAAGTGAAGGAAATAATCTTGAGAAACCGGCTTGCCATACCCAAAAAGTCGAAGGCGTGCGAAGTGCCCAGGAAGCTTCTGTGCTTTTGGAAGGAGTAAGGCTGGCTTAGTTAGCCAGGACTCACGCACAACGGACCTATTGAGTGTCTAAGTGCGGAAACTGAGTCCACAAACCATAACCATATGCCTGGACTAAGGTTTAGTGCAGCAAAATGAATAGTGCGAAGTGTATCATGATATGGCTGATGAAATCAATTTTCTAAAATTATTAATGAAGATGGTCGTTCTTCAAGGACACTTGCATGCTCTAAGCATACATCCAAACTGTGTTGACTTTGTGGAAACTTTCGCGTTTAACCTGTAATTGCATTTGATAAAACTCATGGATTGAAATCAGTCCCGGAACCCCGCTGTATGTATTCACACCATTTCCTCGTGTCATCACATATCCGCTATATTATGCACCCCATCCTTCCTACTCCAATTGGTACCAATAAACTGATTATAAATTGAGGAACATCACAGGTTGGGGAATGCGTTGTGAACTGGTTTAACCTTTATGTTGAGGAGTATTGCAATATCTCTGACGCTGATGTTCGCTTACCATGTAATGTCAAAGGAGTTTTAATTATTGTAACAAAATTGGCAACAACGACGGCATAAAAATATGATATCTTTTTATATAGGTAACCAAATACACTTCACAGAAAAGATGTTAAATTGATTCAAATTCTAAATAAAAAAGAAAAATAACATACTACTGCTAACATAAATTGATATAACAAAAAACAATAACTAACCTTAAAATATGATAACTATATATAAAATATATTATTAATAGGAGTCCCTTTAGGCAAGGTTCCGAAGATACTGGCAGCGTTCCCCCTTTGAATAGCTAGACTAATCCTTTGTCCGAGGTAGCCGTGATGTCGACTACCCTTTTTGCCATTTCCTTAAAAAGCCTTATAGCGCTACGACCCCATGGACCAATGGTCTCGACACCGAATGCTACGAAATCATATTCGGAGCTTATACCCCTACTCAGAACTCAGATTGGTATCTACAATATGCGTTTACAAATCACTGCCCTTACGTCATACCGTGAAACGAGTTAACGAAGTAATCCAGGCCGTTAAGGATATATACAAATTCTCGTATGTTAATTATTAAGTTTAGTAGTATCGAGAGTAAATAAAGTATTAAACTGTACTACTATGTATATGCAATTTCGATATAGTTCCCCCATCCGTAATGCTGATTTCCCAACGAATTCAATCGCTATGGAAGTAAAAATGCGGGCACCAAATAAGCCTCTAAGTTTTAATGAAACACAGGAGGGTTTTATATATATTTAATATAAAAATTACAATAAATATGCCGAAATCTACATCTATATAAAATAAATAATTCTAAATTACATTGTGACTAAATTGTATTTTAAAGCATTTTATTCCTCACGGAATTTCTAAGTACATATTTATATAAGGGATTACTTCAACCTCACTTTAAAGAAATTAAATATCATAATGGTATTTAATGAGCTGATTCTATAAATAATTATCTCTAATGAGACTTTGGGTAATAGCTGTTCGACAAAACTAATCATCACTTTATATACAAATTTAAATTTATGAAATTATTTATATTTCCTAAAAATTTTAAATTACTAATTTAAATTACGGTAAAATTGTCGAATCGAGGTGGGGCCGTACCTTAAACAGCTCCAATTTTTTTTTCTATCGAACTTTACGACTTGTATATGGTACCCCAAGTAATATTGAGGAGCATGGCTTTGGACCCCTTAAAATAATTTAAAAAACTGATAATATTACATGCGTGGCGTTTGTGATAAGGTTAGGTTAGGTTAAAGCAAAAAATGTTACCTTCTTTCATACATTTCACAAATCATAACATTTTAATTAATTTTTATGGGGTTAAACAGCATGCACCACCACATTACTGCATGGTACACCATTGCCGAGTGATGAAAATATGTAGAAATAAATATGGAACTGTTTTAAAGTGGAACCTTTCGACAAATGTCAAATTTACCTAAATTACAATCCAAAACTAAAATTTACACAAATCGGTGATCTTTATCGTCCTTTTAATCTAATTAAAGATCACAGTTACATAATTAATATCTATACATTAAAAGGTATTAACTTATGGACCAGTCGTTTTTTGAAATTTGTGAGCCCTTTAAATACGACTTAAGTTTGAACATTTTAATTTTATTATATAAATGATTATTGTCCTTGAAACTAATGGAATTAGAACGTTGTTTTATATGATTTAAAATAAATTATATACTTTGTTGATTTGTTTAATTAGTACTAAATAATTTCTCCGTTACACTTCTAGTAAAGTGATTCGATCTATATGTCGCGGCCAACTAGCAATAAAAATGTGAATTTATCTGTGACTGACTCAAGCAATTTAATTTTTAAAGAAATATTTTTTATGTCACAAGTTTTTTCTCTTTTATTTCTGCCACATGATCTCTATTACTCTATCGTACGAATAGCCCAAACATTAGCCAGCCAGTTTATGAAATGTTGTTCCAAAGCTACGGCGGCAGGTCTTTCAGGCCACTAGTTAATCGGAGCTATTTAGTTAAGAGGCTAGGCTGTTGATTGAACGGCTAATTAGGCTAGTTGGCTGCGACATATTTATTAAGTTTGGTATAGCTGCGTCTTGGGAAACATTATATATATCGCAGATGAAGTAATTTTACTACACCTTGACATATATACATATTTATATACATTTTCAACCGCTTCCATAAGTAATAAGAGACAATAATAATAATAATATATTAGTAAAACGCTAGTGATGTTAGGTAGTGGAATATATCTTTTGATAAACTATATATACACTTAAATATTGCGACTAAAATATACAGTCTTTATGTTAATAATAAATAAGAGAAACTAGTATTTAGTAGTTTTGAAATAGTTATGAAAACATAATTTAATAATATTTTAATAATCCAATAAGACTTGACTTGAAATTATTACTTAAAGTATCTGTATTTTACTGTACAGCTTTTTTATAATGTGTATTAAAGTGTTTTCTTTTCTTTCTTTCTAGTTTATTACGGCCTAACTATGGCCATTTAGATTCAGATCTAAAATTTTTGAGTGTTAATTTCACAACTATTTCAAACCTACATTTCTGGCACATGAGAATTTAGCATCTACTCGAAACAAATTTTCCTCCTGATCCCCTTTTCTGGCACAATGCTCAGCCTTCGTTTCAAAGACTGCCTCATTTGTGACACCTTTGTCTCTTTCACTCTTGGTGTTATTTCATTCTCTACTTTCATTGGAAGGAAAGAGTCCTGCTCATTTGCATCTCCTACTTTCGTTACTCCAATCCACTTGGATGTTTCATTGCATGGGTACCATTCATAATCCCCATCTAGAGGTACTTCGTTTTCAAAATCAAAGTTCCACTTTTTGCTTTTTTCTGTACGATCCGTGATAATGGACTCTTGGAGGAGGTTCGCGAAGTTGTCGATCTTCGCTTCCTCTGTTAGGTTGTCTGGTGCGAAGAGACGCCGTCGGACCGGGTTATCTGCTGATAATCTAGGCATCTTCGGAAGGCTGAGTTAGTCTGTGAACAACGAAAAGTTTCTATTTAGAATTGGCCAAAGGTATTTTCCCATTGTAATTTTAATACCAAATAGATTCTATAATCGCCAACACAATCGAATGTTTGGCAAACAAATTGTCGTGTTTGTAAAACAATCTCTCATCGATGAATACGAGGTATGGCCGTTCTCTTATCAACACTAGAATACAAGCGTCAAGTATTGCCAGCGTATTCACATAATATATTTATAACTAAAAACATATTATCGGATTGTCTCTATAAAATATTTACTGAAACGTTTGTACTAAAAACATATATGATGTACGATAATCATTTCAGCTAGAGGAACTGTGCACAGATGGATTTAAATTTTAATGCGTACAAGGCACTTAAACATACAGTAAAAAAACAATCGTGATATACTGAAAATCGACGACGTAAAATCCTAGAAAAATCCTCGACTAAAAATAAAGAAAATCAATGAAACAAACGCAGAAATCTAAAGTAAGATTTAGGGCAGATACTTAGCGCTTAGTATATCTGAAGATATCTTGAGGCTTATAGCGTCACTACATTGTTATTCAAACACAAATCATTCATAAAGATTTAATCTGATTTAATAAGTCTATTAAAACTCAGTAAAAATCTTTCGTTTCTATCTGTGAAATTGTGTTTAAGCTGTGATAAAAAGAGAAAGATGAATAATATAGTTAAAACGGTGAAATTTGCTTCATTTTGTTACTAGGGTAAATTTATGTATATGATACGTATCCATACTTTTGTATAATTTTAAACCAACTAAAAATTTCCTAACCGGATGTTATTAACGTATCTGCACCTCATTACTGGTTCATATATTGTGTTAAAACATCTTGCTATGATAGGAACCAACCATTTAAAATTAAACCAAAACTATGCCTGCGGATCAAACTCATAAAAACTAGTGGTGTTATACTTTTAAATTAAACTCAGATATATTTTTATATTATATTACCAAAGGCAGGTAACTACATACATATTTCAAGAGTAAAATCAAAAAACCCGCATGTATAAAATTTGCGGTAATCGACTGTTTCATTTCTTATAAGTTTCTTCTAAATCAATTTACTTTCAGTAACATGTTTAACAAAATAACTTAACTCTAAAAACCTCAAAGCCAATAGAAGTACCTAGAAACTTAGTAAACAGAAGATGGTATCCGTTAGGCGTTAACTACCAGATTAGCAACACTTAAACCGTTTAACCGAAACAAAAGTACAGTTAACTGACCGATTTAGATAAGACAATAGACAAAACTATAGAAGCTAAGCAAATATAAACAGTGAATAAAAAAAACAGTTGAAATTTGCGATAATTTCAAAAAATAAAAATAAATCAGTGGCGCTACAACTTCTTTAGGTCTTGGCCTCAGATTTCTGAATCTGTTTCATGATCATTTTTTTTTTAAATCTAATACGCAATCAGGTGATCAGCCTCCAGTGCCTGACACATGCCGTCGATTGTTTGGGTTTAAGACATGTCGGTTTCCTTCACCGGTTAAATGCGCACATAATTTATATAATTTTAAAAACTAAATTTTAATTTTTGATCCGCTTAGCTAGGACTCAATTTTTTTATAACTTAATTAAAGATTTTAAAACAATTAAATCAATAACTAGATGCATGCATAAGTAACAGTACTTCATATTCTTCTTGACGACTGATTGGTCGAGTGGTTAGTACCCCTGACTGCGAATCCATGGGTTGGTTCGATCCCCAGCTGAGACGAACATCGATGTGATGAGCATTTGGTGTTGTGCTTAGGTCTTGGGTGTTTATATATGTATTTATATGTCTATCTATCTATAATATGTATGTATATCCCTTGCCTAGTACCCATAACACAAGCTTCACCAGCTTAGCATGGGACTCGGTCAATTGGTGTGAATTGTCTTTTTAAAAAAATATATATATATCTATTAAAAAGAGAAAATTAATACTTATGGCCTACATATTGTAAATACATGTCATATATCAATCAAAAACACCTTTTCTTTTCGACAAATTCCATTCACGGATATACAAACTTGATTTAATAAAGGAATTATTCATAAAACAATTTGTGTAGCCATCAACTGTGAAACAATGTTATCATCATTCTATATTCTTTTACAACTTGTAATTATTAAGTGTTAACATTCTACGTGTCTATGATACCGATCTAAAGATATAGAAACTGTTACGTGGAATTGGTTGAAAAATTTACTTTTCAGGCCTTTTATTTATTTATTTACAGCTCAATGGCCAAACTTAGACTAAAAACAATAAAATACATTTAAGATTTACAAAATTGACAGTAAATGCTATCCTCTTATCCCCTCCAGGTACACTCTGAAACCACAGTATACCACCCCCATAAGCTTTTATATGATAAGGAAGCTGGGAAGCAAACCATCCTATGGAATATCCATAAATGAAAAGAACTTACTACTATAATGATATGATTCATAATGTGATATGTAACTTCTATTTAAAATTCTTCCTTTTATGACAAATTTGCACGGCGTTATATGTGGCAGAATATGCGAAGTTTAGATTTTACCACCATCATATTTTATACCATATTCTTGATATGTATGTATAAATTAATTAACAAATGAAATATTATTATTAAAAGCGAGCTATCGCAGCCCATGTAAGCGTGGTTGCGTTCTCCACTTTGTCAGCATGATATAGGCAAGAAACTTTCATTTAGGAGGTTTTATATAAAGACTTTTTATATATTTTAGGAGGTTTTTGGTATAACAATTAAATTTAAAAAAAACTTTGGCTGTATAGTTTTAGTTCCTTCCTAAGTACAATAGATATTGCGATAGTTGTTAACCGGAAAGCGATATTAAAATAATACTTATACAAATTTAACATACATTAAAAATATTGTGTATAAATAAAAACCTAGTTATGTCCCTAAATAAAATCAAAAATTATTTACGGTAACATAGACTAATCACTATGCACATAAACTGAGCTATCATGTACGATAACAATTTAAGATTTATCGAGCGTAAAGATTATCAGTGTCGAATCTGAATTTGTAGTCTATAAATATTCTTTTGTTTACAAAAAACTGTGAAACACCAATTTCCTTTAAGCTGAGTATATATTTATAAAAATAATCATAATCCAATGGCGCCACAACCTGCATGTATTGTTCACGTTATTTTTATGGACAAGTAGCTGGTCAGCCTGGCGCAGGGTCTAAATTCGGTTTCCTGGAGACGCTTGCCTTCATGGCAGTGGCGTAACAATAGGGTGGCAGGGCTGGCAAAATGCCACGGGCCCCCGACCCAAGAGGGCCCCTGCCCAAGAGATATTATGTTCTATGGAGGAATGTTACGTCTCCAATACGCACTGGGCTAGCGTGGGGACTATAGACCATTCCCTCTCGCCTAAGAGAAGAGGCCTATGGCCATTAGTCGGACATACAACTTCTAATTGAGTACGCTGAAAATCTCAAAGTTTATTAAAATTAAACTGAGTACAACGTTACGATTTCTACTAAGCCTCATCAAAAGAATTTGCAACGGGTCCCAGATGGTATAGTTACGCCACTGCTGCATGAGCAAGTGTTAAATGCGCACGTAGAAAGGAACTTGGTGCACGACCTCAAAATAGATTGAACGCTTAATTCACTAGTCGCTTACAATCCAATTATATAGAAGAGGGATAGAATTAAAGCAACAGAAGTCGAACAAATTCTGATATTTCAATTCAACATGTCAAATGTTAGAAATTACTAACGAAGATACAGACAAATATCGTCACAGTCTGAAGATTTTGGAGGGACCTTTGTTTCTGATAACATATCTGATTCTCCCCTCTTTTTTAAAGGTTTACATTACCATTTTTAAGTTGCGTAAAGGGTTTTTAATGAACAAAGCATTTTTAACTATTTATTTTCATTTGAAAGTGTTAATTTACAAATATATACAACACTTAGTCCATTCGAATCAAACACCTTGATTGACTGATTAATTCTAACGGCTACTGACCCTCCTCAAGTTTTTCATACAAATTTATTTCTACTATTCATAAAAATCTATAGTTTAAGGTCATTATTACTCTTATTAATTCACTATTTATTTATCGACTCGAATATTGAAGTTAAGAAAATTTAATTTAACGGCTAAACTGTTTCTAATAAAGACGCTAACTAAAAATCAGTATGCAAGCTACATTGGAAGTTACAATACATATTCCATACTCCAAACTTAACTCAAAGTAACCTACATAACATTTACGGAACTTAATAACGAACTTCTAACTATAAAAACTGCAGGAAATGCGCGTGCGCAGGTCCCTTGCGTGGAACCCTGACAAGTGCACGACATCGATACGGCGACAGATCGGTTGCAAACGTCTCAAGTTCCTGGCCGTGTTGTTTTCATTAGAGTGTGCAAAACTAGTATATTATTTCACTGTATTACGATAGAAATAATATACATCTAATATATAAAATTCTCATGTCGCGGTGTTTGTAGTTAAACTCCTCCGAAACGGCTTGACCGATTCTCAAGAAATTTTGTGTGCATATTGGGTATGTCTGAGAATCGGACAAAATCTATTTTTCATCCCCCTAAATGTTAAGGGTAGTCCACCCCTAAATTATTATTATATTTTTTCGTTTTTTTTGTGACCCCTAATTTTCACTAATTTTCTCTACTAACAACCCCTATTTTTTATTATAAATGATATACATGGCAAAACGACGTTTGCCGGATCAGCTAGTAGATTTATAAATTATACGTATATATATCCTTTTAAATATGTATTTATAACGATTATATAAGACGTAGTAAGACGTTCTTAATACGTGTGAACTATTAATACAGTGTAGTTTAATTATATGCCGAAAGAAAAAATGTAGAAATAAGATATTCAGAACACCGTTAATCTAATTGCTTAAATCGATAAACTCAAAATAACTTTATTCATATAGGTAACCAAGTACACTTATCTAAA